ATTAGCTAGTTGTAGAGCCTCATCTTGTATTAGCTTGATTTGGGCTGTTTGCTTATTATCAAGAGTAAACCAGCATCTAAGGAATTTGAATGGTTGGTATGTAGGAGTGAAGATTAGACTGGTATTTAGAAATGAGATACTGGCGTTGGGCTGTTTGGAGATGAATATAGATTTAGTAGGGTTAACTTGTATGTTGGCCATTTGGTAAAAAGATATAGCTATATCTATAGTTTTTTCTAAGTCTTCCTTGAATTGAGCAATTCTTACAGTATTGTCTATATATGCTAGTACTGAAATTAATGTATGGAAATGGTTTGTAGATGGATGTGTAAGGCTTGTTTGCCAGGATGTAGAGAGTGTGTATCCAGGTTGGTGGCTAGCTATGTGTGTTATTAAAGAGTCATAGTAAATTCTCCAAAACAATAGTGTAATAGTTTCTCCCTGATCAATACCATTTTGACAGAGTAGCTCTCTGTCAATCACAGGTTAGTAATGACTCAGCTGGTGAGTCAGAGAGTAGATTGATAAGGATATTAACAAAAGCTTGGGGTATGCCAATTCTGTGTAGTGAGTTACTGAATGGGTCAGGGATAACTGAATCGTAAGCTTTACTCATGTCTTGGGAGAGAATTCATAGTTGGTTTGAGTTGCATACTGCATCCTCAATAATATTGTTGAGAATATAGATGAGAATAGTAGTGAAGTTGCCTGGTAATGCGACGTAGTTATAAGGTGAGAGGATGTTGTGGAAGGAGAGAATATTGTTCAGATGATTTGTAAGCAGTTTGGTATAGAGCTTCTTAATGTGTTCTATCAGACTAATAGGGTGAGTTTTGGCTAGATTGCCATCAAATATGGGTTTTTTATATATTGGATATATGTGTCTCTCTTTCCATTGTTTGGAGATTTATTGGCTGCTTAGACAGTGATTGAGCAAAGATGTGATAGACTGTATGAAGCTAATACCTGCATGTTTGAGCATCTTGTAGCTCATTTCAGATGGGCCGCAGGCTTTGTTATTGGGGAGCAAACTGAGTATAGTAAGTATCTTTTTAGGAGAAAAGACAGTGAGAGCTATGGAGTACCAGTCTGGGCTAATGCGTGGTTTAGGTCTATATTCTGCTTGCCAGTAGGTATCAAAAAGAGATTGGTCTACTTGGTGAGAAGCTGTCCAATCATCAAAGTGTTGTTGTATATGTGTTTTTATAAAGAGAGGATCTGTTACTACATCATTGTTTAGTTTAATGTTGTCAAATTTGACTGGATCCTTGTGTCTGTTTAATATACTATTAATCATTGAGGTAGGGTATGTTTGTAGCTTAGTGCATCTTCTTTGGATTGCTTTCATAATGGACTGCCTGGTTTGTCTGGTATTTTCAAGGTTGCGTGCATGGTAAAGACTTTTCTATTCAGTGTTAGCATTGGTAAGCCATGCTGAGGTTAACAAGGTACTCGAGGGGAGAGAAGATATATCAAGCTAGCATTGTTGATTAATTGTATTAATAGCAGGGTTAAAATGAGTAGAAATAGGAAGATTGTTGGTTATTGCATATTTGGTTTTCCAAATAATACTACCATTGCAATTTACTATGAAAAATGGGTTGATCATATGAATGTCGATCACTAAAATTTCATAGTAAAAAATTTACACCTGTGATCTGCGTGACAAATCGTGTGACTGGTATATATAATGCGTTTGCATTTATAAGTTGGGCCAAACTTATAAGCAGATATAATAAATTCAGCGGACTGAGCTAAAAAATAGTCGGATTTACGGACTCAAGCATTGGCCAAAAATTATATGAGCAGAAAGCTCTCTAATGGAAGATTTTGTCTCCTTATAGTACATTAAACTTTTACATGTAATATGCCACAAAAGTCACTCAATTTACATGTAAATTTGTACTTAAATTTAATGCTACAGGTAAAATTATTTGATAAATTGGGATTTTTTATATTTGCTCAAATTATTTGTTTGATTAATGCGCCGCAAATCAAGGGGAACAACTTTATTAATATAAGAATTAAAGTATATTGCACATCTTAGTGATAAATTATAGATTAAACAATGTAGTTGCTATAAAGCTCTGTTATACATATAGACATATATTAATCGTTCTAATATAATATATAACTTTGTAAGCATGAAAAATTTAAGTAAACTATTTGTAAACTTTGCATATTAAATATGTAATTTATGTATATATATTTTACAACCAATACTTTTAAGTAATATACCTCCAATTAAGATGTCTATCGCACAAAACTTCATCATATTTTGGTTCCTTTTCCACTAATTCCATAGCAATTTCTCTAATCCTTTTATTATTCTTCAAATCATTATCATTTAATTTATATTTATGATTTGCTAAAATAGTTAAATCACGTTTATTATTTAATAATTCCAAATAAAATTTTAATCCAATAGCTAAAATAGCTGATAAAATCACTGTAGCTAAGCATACGGAACTTCCCATAATGAATGATGGAGCATCAGTAGCTGGAAATATTAAAAGCCCGATGATACCTCCAATTTGATTAGATGTTAATACTATAGCAGTCATCGTGTTGCGCTTATATTGAGCAGCTGTTTTAAAATTTTAAGAATATTAAAATTAAATAATATTAGTAAATATTACCAATTATTAACATATTGCACTTTTTTTAAAATATATATATATATACTTACGGATATTACAGGAGAACCAACTAAATATTATCGGCACCACACCATACACCCCACATGACAAAAGAATAGTAAAAAAATATCTTAGATTATATAAACTAGGGTCATCTGCGCGCGTTGCGAGCATTCCCACCAATGCAATAGTGGATAATGAAAAATCGACCAATGCATTTATAGTTTTTGTCTGATATTTATCAGAACACCATGAATTAAGGAGCATAAATATAGTTGAAATAATAAGTGGTGGTACGACCATTAATTGAGCTTGAAAATCATTATAACCAAGTTGACTAACTAAAGTTGGAAGGTAAAAATTAAGAGCATAGAATGGAATTGTAGTAGTTAAAAGCACTACTGTGTAAATATAAGTTAAAATATCAGTGAAGGCAAATTTTACTTGAGCTTTTGCGAGATCACTATCAATTTCAACGGGATCACACTCAGATTTTAAACGTTCAATAGCGAATTTACGTTCTTCAGGAGTAAAGAAACGAGCATTTCCAGGACCACGAGTCAAAAATACAACAATAATTATTGCCATAATTAAGGTTGGAATGCTTTCAATTATAAATAACCATTGAAAACCACTTAATGAAGAATCAGATATTTGAACTATGAAATATGACTAAACAAGTTAATAAATATCATAAAGTGTTAGTGAAATTATCTAATGCGACGTCAATTGATTTAGAACTTAAAGAACTTACAGAGAACCCACTAAGAGCACCACCAATGGTGACTAAAGTCGTAATTAAAGAATACCTTAAAGTCAATTCATTTTTAGAATAAAACGAACCGATGTATGCTATTATTGATGGAGGATATGCTGCTTGAAACGTTCCTAAATTAATAAATTAATAAAAAATGCAATAAAATTAACATGAGGTTTTGTAATTTAGCAAAATTGTAATGTGACGCTACTCCGTCCGAGAACTTAAAAGCAAGTGTAACTTGAAATCGAAACAATTACGATCTTTTATTTTTTCAACACAAAAAATTTAGATATATATCTTCCTAGTTTGTATTAATTCAACTAGACAGGAATTAGGAAATCAATATTCGGATTTGCATCATTATTATGGTAATGCTGCCAAGGGAAAATGAAAGGAATTTTTTTTGAAATGAATTCTAGTAAATAATAAATAGGAACTTTTAAAGCCCAAAGCCTCATTTTCCCTTGGTATCACTTATATGCAAAGAATGAAATGATGTTAAATAAGATTAAAGTGTGTAGCGCTACTCTGATCGATCGATCAACAAAACATACGGTATATTTGGGTAAGAATTTTCATTACCATATTTTACTTTTAATCTTATTCTAATTCTGAAATCTAAAGCGTTGCAATTTATTTTTGGTTTCATGATACACCTAACCTTATGATTAACTGAGGTGTGTACAAACAACATTAATATAATACTAACCTATAAGAAATCTAACAAAGCCTAGCTGAACCACGGTTGTACATGCAGCTTGAGTCATAGACGTTATTGACCAACATATCATTAAGATTGGCAACCAAACATGAAGCCCTAAAATGTCTGTCACCAAATTTGAAGGGATTTCGAATATAATAAAACCGATAAAGTGTGCTGATACGGCAAAAATATAATTATAAGGAGTAGTATTAAAGTAAATGTAATTATATCCTGCTACGGTAGCATTTCCTATGTTATCAAGATCGATGATGCCCAAGACGTATGTGATGGCCAATATTGCTATTAAAAAATTTATTTCATAAATTTTTTGTAAGAAAATACAAGCCGACATACAATATACGTATTGGTATTGAAATGTACTAGACTAGGAAATTAATTATATAAAGTTGTTGAAATATATTTAAAACATACGCAGCATGTAAAGATCGCATTTTCTAATAATTCTTCTTTCTAAAGTCTTATAATCTGTATTTTCCAGTTCATATGAATCATTTTCGCGTTTTTCTTCAGTTGACATTTTATTTTTTTTTTATTTTTTTTGTATAAATTTAAATGCTAGACAATTAAGAAAGTTTTTTTTTTCTTTAAAAATTAATGTATGTAACTATTGTTCATATCATTCGAAGAAAGAAAAAAAAACTTCTACAATTCTTTTTTACGTTCAGAGTATTTATCAAAATTGGTTTAGCTTTAATTCTCTCACGCATAACAGTAAATCGAATAAACAATTGAAATTACAAACAGGATGATCAGTTACAACAGTACTCCATTAAGTATGCACACGTCTTGAATAAACTTTAATTTTCGGGCATCTATCTAAATTAAGTAGCTGAAATTTTGTTTATCGTAAATATTATTCCAGAATAACATATGAGTTAAGTAATCTGATGACGTAATTAAATTGTGCTTATATAATGTTATAAAAATGCCACAAAATAACCCAAATCCAAAACTTTAGCAATTCTAGATTTTGGTTATATAAAAGTAATAAAAGTTTATATTTCAATTCGTCCCTTTCTTCACATAATTGCTATATATATTTTCCTCAGAATTTAATTTGCAGAAAATGATAAAAATTAATGCAAACAATCTGTACAAATTTAAGGATGAATATTACAGTATGTATGTACGTGTGCACGTACTTAGATACGTACGTGCCAGGGACGATGATTTTCTGCGGTGATTAATTTCTGCGATAATTCTTCTGCATAAAAATCAAATACTTATTGTTGCAAAATTATCACAGAAATTAATCACCGCAAGCAGAAAATTATCGTCCCTAGTACGTACGTACGTACGTGCGTGCGTACATAAAGATTAGATGCGTTTGTACGTATGTATGCATGCACATAGGTACGTACGTACGTGCCAATGTGCAGATTTATTTATTTACGTACGTCTCACTGTTATCGCTTATAAACCATTGTCTGCTTATCCTATGTTATTGTTCATGTGATATGATCATGTAAAATTTTTTGCCTTGATATTTTTGTCATAAAATGACATCATCATTT